TCATATTACGTTTGTGTTGTACCCACAATTCTCCTCAGTCCTCAACGCTGTGCGCGTACACATATACATCGTATACAGATCGATTATAATGTTGAAGTTATTACAATAATGTGTATACACCGACATCCCGTTTCAAGTGGAAAACAGATTTTTCATTACGATTCCTATTGTCATTTCCTATGGAAAATAACCGGGACACAAACATTTCCAGCTATCAAAAATCCATAAGCTAAGAGATGCAGAAAATAAATTTTCGTCGAAGAATCGTTTTTACTACCAGTTATATTATATTCTACTCCGAAAATCTTTGTTTTTCCCATTTTACACTTTTATGGTGCGCCGAATAGCGATATAATAATTAATATTTTAGTGGATGACTTAACACCTGACTTAACATCACTGCAATATCAGCATTCAGTGCCAATACAGTAAACTGTTATTTACGTGTTTATAATATTTTTATCCCGTTTTGACCTAAAACATAATTTAAGATCAGTAGTTACCTTAACTCGTACTATCATCATCAAGTCATACAGCCGTCTCTCAAATTATGCTGGTCCTCCATTCTCTTATTATAAATACAAATTTAAATATAAACGAGTTGCCTTCGATGATTAAATAATTCTTGTACGAGTTGTCTTTCAAAAATATTCATACTTATTGTCAAGTATTAAATATTAAAAAGTGGCCGCTCGTGTGCTAAAATATGCCACTTAAATAAATGATCTTACAAATAATATATCATGCTTAAACATAATATATTGTGTTACAGTTAGGTTAAGATAGTTACACATTAACAGTTACTTCTATTTAACATATAATAATATAATACAAATATAACAACATTAAAATATTTAAATTATTTAATTCGACAAAAAAATAAAACAACTTTAGTCATACACAATTGTATGGGTAAATAAGTATTTAAACAGATATTTTTCTGTTTATTTTAAAAATAGTTATTAAAATAATTATCATAATTTTATTTTAAGTCTATAAAAATGTAATAATACTAAAAGTGTTGAGAATAAATTATAATTTTAAAATTACAAATCTATATTAATATTTGAAAATTGTTGAGTCATTTAGAAACCGCTTATACATTTATTTTCCAGACATTGGGAAGTTAAGTATTTCGTTTACCATAAAATTTAAAGTAGGTATACTTACGTGGGGAGGCAACTCGTGTATAATCGGAAAGTAATTCCTATAAAAATTATCGATCTTTTTTTACTTTGAAAGGCAATTAGTTTATATGATCTCGTATTCTCATTATGGTATCTAGATCAAAAATGAATTTTTAAGAACGGGTATAAGGTATAACCTAAAACTGAGACTGACGCATGTTAGTAACCGAGAAGTGGTAGTCGTCAGACCGTGATATGCGAATGCTATATAAACAACAACCGACAAAATATATTACTATACTATCATGATTTATATAGTATTGTTGATAACAATGATACGGATAATGTGTGACACTAAGCTCTGCTGTGCGATGAAGGCCGGTGCAGAATAGTGGTATAATAAATAATAATAAATATTATACCATCGTCAAATTATGATAATATACATTAACTCCAGGATTTGTAGGTCTTACGATCACTAACTGTAATTTATATTAGAATAAATAAAAAAGTATTAATATATTACCTACGAAAGAAAAGTCAATAACCACACAGTGAGTGAGAATAATAATTAACGACCAATACGATTTAAATATGACAATAAATCATAAAATAAACCAATGTATTGTTATAATACACATTTTATTTTAAAAACGTTTTTCGGTTCTTAAAATTATACTCATATATAATATTATGATATTGTATCGTATTGTTATCTATAAAATAGTACAATATAATATCGAAGTATCGAACCGCAAAGACCGATATGGACCTGACACACGTATGTTATTCGTGTATTATATTGTATATATCATGTATTACTATACAAATTTAAATGGTTTTTATAGTTCATTGCGGATGTTTTTTTATTAACAATAATGATTATCTAACCGGTTGAAATATTCCAATTGAACACGTTCACCGTGCACAAATTATTTTCTTAAAACTAATTAAAATTAAAATGGCTTTTTTCGATTGACTATTTAAACTCTATTTTTTAAACAGGTGTTCTATATGTCTACGTAAATTAAATATAATATAAATATAAGTTTATAGTCTATTATAAATTATAATAATAGTTGTTGCTGTTATTCGGACGATGGAAACTTTTAATGATACGTATTAATTAATGTATACGCGTTGACCTACAAAATGCCTTATGCAGTCATACTAATTACAAAATATTTACACCTTAATAGCACACTGCCATTTCGTGTATATTTTATAATCATATATGTATATAATATTAAACTTCAACTTTGATGCGTTTTTAGTTAATTAAAATCGAATAGACATTATATCACTTAGTCCATGTATTATGCATATAATATATAACAGACGAGTTAATAATTATAGTTGTGTCATTTTAGTGTTTTGTATTATTACCCCGAGGATAATTATTACGACACAAATACGTAGAAATATTAAGAACGTATATGTAATATTATAATTGAAGTTCGATTCGAATTAGTATTTATATTTTTAAATGTATTTTACCGGTGCATGTGGCGACGAATAAAATGTATATAATATACCTACCTATACGTCGACATTATATACATTAAAAATGTATACAATATGTTCGCGATAACTAGAAACACTCAATATTTTAACGTAGAGTTATTTAATTTAAACCATGATATTAAAATTTATAATTAAAGTACTAAAAATCATATATTATATAAAACTATGCATCATTTTAATATATATATAAAAATAAAATACTTAGTACGCTATTATTTTTTCTATGCACTGTTTTTTGCTAATAACCAATTTCCTAAGTTAAAAAAAATTGCTGAGTAATTACATTTTGAATTTCAAATATTATTCATATTTTATAAAACCTATAAAATTATTTTTATTAATCAATCATTTTATTTTTTTATCCAAGTGCGACGGATCTACTGCTAATTTTCAAACAGTGCATATTTTAGCCTTTAGGGTATTCTAAAAAAGTGTATTAAAAAGATATTATAGTAAAACCCGTCTCCCTCAATTTAAAAATGACCGATTAATTTAACACGTCATATACATGCAAAAAAATTCAAAATGCTATTAGGATAAAGAATATTATAGATATATACTATAAGTACCTAGTTTTTTTTATTTAGTACTACCACTAAAATGTACAAAAAGATACAAAAAAATAATAATTGATGCTTGGTGGTGAAAACGGACAATTGAACGACTCTATTCGGATAAGAGTTGTCGTGAAAATATTGTATAAATAATTAGGTGGACACCTTTAAATATACCTACTATATCTTGGCATACCTGTGCGGCTTTGCGTACGAATACTCATATCGAATATATGTTGTGTGTAATAAACGTATATACAGAAGTTTCATAATAAAGTGAAAAAATAACTGCTTTTGCGCCAGAGACACGTATTCGCGAGCAGTTTGAAATGACTCACGCCAATTCGGAGCTGGTTCAAAAATTACGCTGTGGATAAAACTCGAGTTCTCTTTACATACAATGTATATTTACATGTATAATATCCATATACATGTGTGTGTATAAAAGATAGAAAAAGAAAGAGAGAAAGAATGAGAAATAGAGAGGGGAAATAGGAGGAAATCCTTTCATTTCGTCAAACACGTCGTTCGTTCATTTCCACGATGGTTTTAAACGAATTTCCTCTCGCGCTGACGACGGCAGCGTGTTAAGCCGCGTTGACTGCGGAATTCAATTTCAAGACTGAAACCGTCATTTTCGCCACCATCTCCGTAGTGAGCTTTACGAACTGCAATCGTTTCTTTGAAAAAATTATAAACAAATCGTGCGTATTTTCGCATAGTTTCGTAAGGTATATAATATCACTGTGTTATATTCGAAACGTGCGCACGAATAATATAATAATATTAGTATAAATTGTTTATACTATACACTGTCGATATTATTAAAAAATAAAACCAAACTCGCGGCAGTAAACCATCGCTGATCGAGTATTCGGCAGGTGGCCGCGGTGCACGTCAAATCCTCCTCCCGGATATCGTAAATTCGTAAGCCGCGAGTCGTGAGTGCAAAATAATGTTTCAAAATATATCCCAAACAAACGAATCTATCCTTTACCAAAACATAATATACCTAAGCTATAGGTACATACGTATTTGCTCCGAATCCCACCACTGCTGCTGCACGCGTGTTATAATATTCTGGAATGCGTCACAACAAATTCATAGTGGAATCCTCAGATTATAATATTTTAATAGTAAATGCACTATTGTACTAGTATAATAAAATATTATGTGTTATACGTATGTACTTCACCGCAGCAGAATAATATGCACGCCAACAGTATCCATCACGACTGCAGCAGTTTACGAGATGACGTTTTTATTACAGATCCAACAATAGCACGATATAATATAATATCTTACATTTAATTCTATATGTATATAAATATTGCAATGTATAGAATGCCTATGCACCTATGTACATATATACCTGATAACGCGTGTACTCATACCTATATGATATGTAATATTATATAATATATTATTATGAGCATAGAGAACTAAATATTATGTTCTTTGTCGTGCAGTCTGCAATATATTTAATAGTGTTTACGACGTATCAGCTATTATCACAACACACCGAACACATGCGTATAATCACGGTAAACGCACGTCGCGTCATTTTTTATAATATTTTTATGCCAAATCTAATCCTCCTCCGCTCCGCCACGCGATGGACTTCGACACACACATACACACACACACACACACACACGACACGCGTCTCATTATTTCACCTTTTCCCATTATCCCGGGCACGCAGCAGCTGCAGCCACTGCCGTTTCTCTCTTAGCCGTCGTCGTCTTCGGTATGATGTGTGTACATGTTGCGCGCGCAGTTTTTTTATTTCATTATCATCCCGTATACACCTATTATATTATTATTAATATATGTATAGTCGTTATTATTTCGGTTCACATTTGATTATTAACGCCACGGGCGCGGGCAACAATGAACGTCGTCGTCGTCGTCATCCGTCAATGTACAGGGTGTACGTGTAATCGCAGTCGACGTACCTGACGTACTTACTATAAAATAATATGTATTCACAGGTAACACAATATTAGATACCTACAGCGGGCAAGTGCAGCGGTAGCCGCCAACATTCGAATGGGAAACGCAGAGACTTATTATTATATACGTTTATTAATATTTTATTATTATCATCGTCGTTGTTGTTATTATTATTATTATTATTATTTTTTCAATCCACAGCTTCTCGCGCGTGTGTGTATGTGTGTATGTGCGAGATGTGTCATTAAACTCGCGCGACCAGATATCGTCGCCATTGTCCGTCTTGTGCAGTGTCCACTGTTGTTGTACGTACGACGTTTTTCCACCTCGTCTCGTCGACGCTACCTACGATTTTTCCCGACACGCTGTGCTACTAATAAGTACCTATAATAGTAATAATAATAATAATAATAATGATAATAACTGCAATAATACGCGTGCACGATAATAATAATATAATATTTTGTCATACGGAGCAATGCTATTAACAGCAGTGCCGTATTTAGCCAAACTCTGGTGTAGCGTGTACGTGACGTGCGTGTTTGTGTAGCTTTAGGAGGCGGTGCGTATGCGCCTATCTATGTATAAAGGTGCATCTGTATTAACTCCGCGCAGATTTAATTAGACGCTGTCATCTCCGCGCGAGGCCAACGTACCGAAATCAACCGATTGCTGTGAGACCGTCGTAGACGTGTACGTATCTATATGTATTACTTACTGTTATGTGTACATAATATTATGTTATATAATTATTATTTTATTGCTACGCGCATTCGGCTGACGGAAATCGTTATCACAATAAAATATGTACGATTGCGAACGTTTTACCTTTTTTATAAAATGATTGCGAACGAATGTCACTTATCAAACGATTTGTTTTTTTAACCGAAAAACCAACGATTGCGAACGTTTTTATAGACTACGTTGCCAATTTTATAATTTCTGAATGTGTTTTATTTTGTTCGGGAATTCAATTAAATTTTTTTTTTAATAAATTCTATTTGATATGATAATAATTAATAATACAATGTTACATTATAACTACGTGACAAACTAAAATAGAATTATATAAAATAATATGAGGTGTTTAAAATGTTGATTAATTAAAATAATTTCGGAGTATAAATATTAATAACACTGTTATATATATAATGTATAAACTGAAAAAAATTAAAAATAATAGTTTTTAAATTATTTTTTATTTTTTTAAAAATTTTTTTCCTAGGTAGGAATTTCCAGTTTTTTGTAAATATAAAATTAGATCCTTGTGGATTTAATAAGTTGTAGTCATTATAATTTTTTAACATTGATTCAATTTTAGATTTATCTTTTTTAGCCATAGGGTTATTCAAATTGCTTTAATAGCGTAATAGTAAAAAACCCTTATACCTACTATTTGATTATTTTAAAAATTATTATTTAATAATTTGTAATTGACTAACACCAAATCTGGCAACACCGCACGATTAAAGGCAGGTAAAAACGTTTGCAATCGTGTTACGGGAAAAGGTCCGTTCGCATCGTTCCATTTGCAATCGTATATCACTCGTTGCCGCCAAGTGTTTTAATTCGTTAGACTATTCCTTTTATTATATTCGTTCTCATGGGTATTTATGTACAACAGACTACTATGTGTCGAGCACATTATCGGACGTACGACATCTATTCTCCACATCTCACTTTTTATTTATGGCAGCGACGGTTCTCGTTGGGATACTTGCGGTAATAATAAGCTCGGACAGCCTCGGCGATAATAACACGGTGCGGCGTACACATAATATTGCACCTAACCGCTGTTTCCGCGGGTACACGCAATAAACCGGTTGTCGACTGCCGTACGTTTTTAATGTAACAAGTGACAACGCACAATTAAACCGTTCTGTTGATAAATAAATTATTTTTAATTAATTTTTAAACTGTAGCGATGACATTGTCCTTATTACAGGGTACACGAGTGTCCGCAACTGTAAAAAACAAATCGCAGGTACCAGCACGGCAGCACCGTCAGCTGTATAAGACTTATCGGACCACACGATGCGTTGTAACTTATTGCTAAATTCTAAAATACCGATTAAAGAAACGTTTAACATATCTATAGTAAATGCGCATATTTGTAGGCATATTTCATTATATAAACAAAATAATATTTGAACAATATATTCGTTTTGATGTTACAGAACAGAGAGCGAGTGTGGCAATGATGAGAATGCTAAAGCAGATGAGTGCGAGATGATTAAAGAGGATAAAATAAGAAATTAATTTGTTATGGAGATGGTGTAAGAATTACACAAATTGTAGACAAAACAAGGGAGAACAGGTTGAAATGGTTATTATGAGAAGAGGTGACACGGAGGTAGTGACAGTGGCTACAGTAGCTATGAAAATTATAGTAAAAGAAAATTGAGAGAGAGAGAGAGAAAATGTCAACCGGAGAAGAGATAGATTGATAGAATAAAGAGTAACACAAAAATAGTTGGTATGAGTAAAACAGAGATGGAAGACAAAGCCCTATAGAGGAGCAATATTAAGGCATCAGACTCCATGTAGATGAGAGCGAAAGACGAAAAAAATTAGAAGACTTGTACCTACTATGTTGTGCGTACCTACTTATTGGAAACAGTTGTGACCAATGTTCGGTGCACAGTTTAGTAGTTGACCAAACATTTTGTAGTTGTGCATGTTATTGAGTAAAATACTCATAATAATATAGATTGTTATAGCTATAAAAATATTAGACTAATTTTTTAATCAAATATTTACTGCTGACACCATCATAGTCGATCAAATTGAGTAATTTAACATTATTAATCCGAAAATGGACGATATAATGAGAAAAATAGCTCCTTTCACTATTGAATTAATTTTTTCTAGTGTACAAAACTGTGCTGGGATAAAATTTAATTTTTTTAATTTTTTTTTTTTTTATGTTTGATAATGTATATAGTTTTAATTCAAATATTAATAACTATTATATTTTATTTTTTTAGCAGATATTAGTTATTAAATAAGCAATTGGTTCTCAAAATATATGATAACCGTATAGAAAACATAATATTATAAAACCAATCGTTGTAATCGTATTTATGATGAAAATATTATAATCACTTGCGAAATAATATTGTATAATATTATATAAATAGATTAGTAGATAATACAATAATTATTTTACTAATAATTTATAACTGAAAATAAAATATAAATCCGACAGCGTAGGTAATCAAAAATCAAATTAGTAATATTTCTATTTATCAAATAATGATAATTTGGGAACCTTGGTCTGCAGTTATTTTTTTATCATTTTATAGCCGACCTGTCACGGCTTCGCCCGTGATTGGTTTTTTATTTTGCCTTCGGACAATGCTATATTGATATGTAGAATTTTTTATTCAAATTTTATCGTTTAACAACGAGATCAGCAAGTAAATATAAAAAACGATTAATGAAACCATATTGAAATGTTTCTAGCGATATTAAACATTTAGCATAACCTTTAAAAAAAAATTGGAAAAATGTTATTGTCGTCAAAAAATTGGAACATAAAAAAGCTTTGTTCTTGTGGATCTCGCAGAGAGGTCCCAAAAATTAACTTTGTTTTTTTAATTTTACAACATTTTTATTATTAAATCTTTGAGTTAATTAAATTTTACCATAAAACAGTGTGAATAAATGCATTGTATAAATAGATAAATAATATCTTTAAAATTGTATTCCATATAATATTATAACAACTCTTCAAACATAAGTGTTTAAATAGTAACCATGGTTACAAAACAATAATTTAAATAATAATATTAAATATGCGTAAAATTTCCCATTTTTCTTAATTTATTTTATTTTTTATTGACAAAAGTGGTACTAAAACCTTCAACAGACTATCGAGTATAACAGTAAAAAAATTCAGCCAAATCGGTTCAGTTGTTTTCTTAGTTAGCGTAGTCATAGAAAATCTTCTTGCAATTTTATATAGTAGTATAAATTAGATACGTTCATATTATTACATTATTTAAAATGGCTTTTGTTGATTTTTAAAATGATTGGGTGGTATGGTGGATCCATTGCAGTAAAAGGTTTTAACTTTTAACGATACCATTTAATTAAGTACATATTTTAATAAATACAATTCAAAATATTCTATGAGAATTTGTCATGTGTGAAGAAATATATTAAACTAAGCTAACTATCATAGCGATAATAATTTAAATTTCTGTAGAATATAATATATATCATTTAGAATAACCTCAATCTATAATAAGAACAAAACGTTTTTTCAGCATTCTATTAAAACAAAATGCAATTTATTGAATATTTATCGTCTTATTAGTAGCAATTACATAACGATATTTCAATATTTTTATAGGTGTTTATTAATAGATTTCACATAAAGGACAACCGATTGTCATCTGTAACGACTACAATAATAGCGTTGAATATATTATTTTTCCAAATATTCTAATCATTAATAATTATGAATGATTTATTAACTCTAACCAGCTCCAGATAATATTATAAAACAATGCAGACCTTCTTTTTGAGTATTAAAAATAATATTATCACAATGAAAAATAAAATAAAATATTATTTACTAAATATTATAAACAAATATTTGAGAAAGAACGAAACTTTTATAGGTAAAACTAACAACAAAGGCTATAGCATACCTACTTTAAATATGTAAATAACTAAATTAACATATTATTCGGCGTGTATATCAGTTTAATAACAACTTTCTCTGTGCTTATTTTTATTTTTACTATTATTCATTTATTCGTTATACGACCAATTTATAATATTTTAATATATATATATGTGTGTGTGTGTGTGCGTTGTATTTTTATTAATTAATATACTGTAGACACGAAATTAATAATGCGAATAAGGAACATATTATATATTTATATTAATTAGAAAATAATAAGTTTTCCAAATACTAAATACATTAGATTTATATTTTAGTTAATATTTTGTGCAGAGCACGTTTTGAAATAAATTATATTATCTACTTAGATGGGTTTCAACTATTATTTTGATACTTAATTATTAATTACATTTTTCCAAGGATCTTATGCGTTAGTCTCATTAATCATTATATTTATCAAAACACTATGTAGCAATTATCTCAATAATGTGTAACTATGTATTTGGTATTATAAATATTAAATACAGTAGAATTAAGTAGGCATTATTGCTAAAAGTTACTTAATGTTGAAAGTTAAAAATTGAAATTGAAAATAATATCTAAAATAGCTAATGGACGTATTTAAGACAAGTGTAGCTACGCAAGAAACGAAGAAACTAAAAACCGGTTCATCCGATAATAATTAACTTGAAAAATTAAATAATTAATAATAAATAATTGATTTTTACTTTTTAAATTTTAGACTTGAAGCCGTAACGATGGATATATTGTAATTTCTATACAACTATTGCGCGATTAATTATGTATAATATTAAATAATACATATTTATTTTGTTTTTAATATATTCTATGTTTATTATAATCTACTTGGTGAATTTATTATGAGATTTGCTCTTGGTATAATTATAATTATTACTATTATTATTAATTACTATCATTATTATTAGTTAAATTATTTTAATCGTCAAAACTTGGATACATTAATACGTCGAATGGTTTAAGGTCACAACACTAAATCAAAAATGATCCATTAATTATAATGTGCGAAGGATGTATAATATTAAAAGCGTTACTACATTTATTAATTTTAAAATGATATTTGAAGGACACAATATTATTATTAAGTTTAGCGAGTCTAAATATAATTTTTTTACTTAAGTGTATACATTTTAAATACAACTGATTATTAAATCACGTTTACTCGTGTTATAATAATAATAATAATATAATAACAGGTATATGTCGTCGTGTTGAAAATGCGTTTTTAAACACGAGCTTATAACGATATTTACTTGACGAATATAATATTATAGTCGGCATCCGGGTAAACTTCATGTGTATCAGTACGTGCACCTACAATTTACAATTTATTGTGTAATGCTCGCAAATGTACACATACCCATTAATTTTATACAATTAACCTCTTCCCGCATAGAGGCATCAAATGGTGCCATATATATTTATTTTTATTAAAAATCAGCTTAAATTATAACAGTCTTCATATATCATTCTACATTATGATAACATAGTAATGTTTATATTTTACTAGTATAGGTAGCGCTAGTCATATTTAAAATTGGTAGAAAATGACTAAAAACAGAAAGACTACAGCTTTCCAAAATTACTACAAGTCATCCACTTTAGACAATTTTTTTCATACATAAAAATCAAATAAACTTTTCGAAAAAAATATTTCTGAATAGATTTATAACTTTTGTTTAAGATAATATTAATTAAAACCGGTTTTGGTAAATGGAAGAATTTTTATAGCGAGATTTGTTGATGGAAACATTTGGTGCCAGCCCGATTTGGTGGATGTATTTTTTCAATCAATTTTATGACGTTTTGTCTATTTACGTACAAACTATTGCATGTCTTTACATGCGTCTTATTTTTGTTTTTATTTCATCTATGGATTTTAAATTGTTTCCATTATTATCAGTACGTTGTGTTGTTGTACGAGTAAAGTATTGTTTATTTGGTCTCATAAATATATATTTTTTTTCAATAATTTGTGAAAATGTCTAAATTAAATGAACATACTATTGCGGATTTGTTGGATTTTGAAATGGATGAAGACGAAATGTCTATACCTTCTGGGTCTGAATTTTCTGACCAAGAAGAGGACGAAGAACATTTTTTCAGTGAGTTTGATGTACCAAATTATAATACTGATAATAATTGTTTCGATGATATTATGGATTGGCCTGTAGAATGTGTGGAAAATACAGACGTACTTCCCACATCTACCAATAACATTCACGTAGATCAAAATCCTATTATTATAAGTGTCCCTCATATTTCATTACTTGATAATTCACCTGTTAAAACTCGATCAAAAAGAAATAGTGCCAACTCTACCGTCTCTACTCCGTCTTCGTCAGATCAAACTACACCTGTTTTTCATACTACGGTAAATTTCGATACCCCGAGAACATGGATTTCCGGTAAAGATAATGATTTTTGCGAAAACCCACCACCGTTTTTAGGAGATAATAATATGTCATATGAATGCGAAACGCCGTTTGAGTTTTTCATGAAAATATTTCCAGAAAAATTATTTATGAAAATTGCAATGGAGTCTAATATTTATGCTGCGAATAACAACCGCTCTAATTTTAAATTAACGGTTAATGAACTTAAAACATATTTAGGATTAAACATTGCTATGACTTACTTACGTTATCCGCAACTCAGAATGTATTGGTCGTCTGTTGAAGGTATAAAAATACCTTTTATAGCTGATAATATGACCAATAATCGTTTTGAAGAAATAAAACGTAATTTACATTTTGCTTCTGACGAGGAACGTGTAAAAGGGGACGGATACTGGAGAGTACGCCCAGTTCTTGACATTTTACATCAAACATTTCATGAGGCAAATGATAATTCAGAACACCAAGCAATTGACGAAATGATGATACCATTTAAAGGTCGAAATTCTTTGAAACAATATCTTAGAAATAAACCAAAGAAGTGGGGGTTCAAAGTATGGGCTAGAGCAGGAGTTTCTGGTTATATTTATTGTTTTGAAATGTACCAAGGAAGTGATAAATCTAAACGAAGTAAATTTGGTCCAATTGGTGATTCAGTTCTAAGACTTTGCCATGACATACATAATTTAAATATAAAATTATTTATGGATAATCTTTTTACATCGCTACCACTTTTAACCGAACTAAGAAACAATGGTATATTTGTTTTGGGAACTTTAAGATTAAATCGTGTCAAAAATATTCAATCATATTTAGTAGCAGGAAAATTATTACCACGTGGTGCATCTTCAGTCGCTACATCGAATGATAATATTTCAGTTGTACGTTGGGTCGACAATAAAGAAGTACATACAATTTCAACGTATGCTGGAGCTCTTCCTGAAGACGAAACTAAACGTTTTGATCGTAAAACAAAACAATTTATACAAGTTTCTCGCCCATTTTCAGTTCAGCAATATAATATGTTCATGGGCGGAGTAGATATGATGGACCGTATGATTTCACATTATGCACATTTATTTAAAAATAAAAAATGGTACCATCGTATTTTTTTTCATTTCCTAAATGTATCAATCGTTAACGCATGGATCATATATAAAAAGAAAACAAATAATAATATGTCACTGCTAAACTTTAAAGCAGAAATCGCTACATCTTTAATTGCATTTAATAAGACTACATCAAAAAAACGAGGAAGGCCAGGCGCTACAGATGAATATATACCACTAAAAAAACGGGTTGTTACCAAGACTTCAAACGTAATAAGGTAGGTACCTAATATAAAATATTTTTTACAACTTAAATTTTATTTAGTTAAAATAATTATGATTTATAGATATGATGGATCTAACCACTACCCAAAAAAAGTTTCAACTAACCATCCACCAAGATGTCATGATGCTGACTGCAAAAGACGTACCCGTTATATTTGTTGTAAATGCCAAGAACCTGTGTGTCCAGAATGTATGGAAAATTTTCATACGAAAAAATAATTCAATTTTTTTAATATTGATATAAAATAAATTCTTTAATTTTAAGTAGGTAGGTACCTAACCTAACAAGTAGGTAAATTTTAAATTGTAAAATTTTTAAAACGATACAAGTAAAACTTTTTTTTTGTATGTAAATTAATTTTTTATTTCAAGCTATAAAATAATTAACTAACAATTTTAAAATTTGGAATTTAATTTTTTTTTATATTTGATGTATATGTATGTTATCATAAAATAATTAATCAATTAATACTTCTTTTGTTTTATAATAATAAAATTTAAACATATTTTATACACTATTTATTTATTTGTTTGTGGTAATGTAGTTGAGTACTTCAAAACGGGATGGCACCAAATGTTGCCGGATTTTGTTTTTTAAATATCTTTTTAAATAATGTTTTGATATTTTTTTAAGTATTTTTTTCGAATTCTACGTCAAAATTTACATATAGGTACATTTTTTTTTTGTTAATAAAAGAAATCATGCATGAAGAGGTTAATTATTGTCATTGACGGAATTGATTCGACATTGTTCTAAAGGATGATTTTTGTTAATACAAAAATAGCTACTTTCTATTCGCGTTCTTGGACGACGTCAACAAAATTTGACATATACACGTGTGTGTAAATATCCTGTATTATACAATAATAATATAATGTCGTACGAAGTGTACACGGCGCATAGGCACTACATTACCGGGGGTTTCGGCCTGTTGAGGGGATGGGGTTGGTGGTAATTTCTGGGGATCTGGCAAGCCTATTTATAACCAAGGGACGGAAAAGGGTGGTGGCCGCGTTAAATTCGAAAGGACATTTTTTCGGTTCCGATCTTTGTTAGAACGAGCACACGCTGGTTTTTTCTTAGGTTTTTTGCGTTATATATGTATATATATATATATAATATACTCTGTATTATTAATGCCCGGGCACGTTGCCATGACGACCGTGTCTCCAGCGAAAATGAGAGGAAAAAATTTGCGTTTCCTCCCCACGTCATTTCCATTCCATACCACCGGCACTGCCGCCTACATCCCGCCCGCCTTCTAACCCGCACACTACCCTTCACGCCCTATCATCATTTCACCCTCTCACTCGTTTCTTCTCACTCACCATCGCGTTGTAGTTTGCCGCGCCGGTATATATAATATTATAATGGAACTTTGATAAATAAGAGATGCAAGGCCGGAGGGTCGGTCGTGCGAGTCGGCCTTGGCGAGGGGTAGGATAGTCTCATGAGTGGGGCGTGAGTTGGGTAAGTGGAGGCGAACTTTTGATAAATAAAAACTTGGAAAGTTTCTCACACAGAATATAATGCGGTCCGGCCGGGGCTCGAGACCTGTTAAAAAATACACGCGCTGCGGCGGCTACGGGGATGGGATGACTGGGCGCGGGTGAGATGAAAACCCCAAGGGGGGGATACCCGAACTCGTATTGATTTTTACATTAGCTTTTTAGCTTAGCCTCATACCGTTTATTAAATTACCCCGGGGCTCTGCAAGCGATGGACCTTCAACCCTCTTCTCTACGAAATTACGTCATTTAAAAAATATATGTGTAACATATACACACATTATGAAAAAAAAGTAATAATTTTTTTTTCCCTGAGATGGAAAAAACAAGAGCGTTTTTCTTATGCATTTGTATGCTAACTTACTAGTATGTATATATATGTTATAATATTATACACTTATAATATAGACGTAGATGTGCATGTACAATCAGAAAAATATTTATACAATGTAACCGGAAGTAACACGACAGTATATAATAATAGTATGTATTTCGACATTTACGTACAAATATTTCTCCGGTTCATCGTTTCATAACGATATTAGTATTACCATAATAATGTACTGTACCACTATCCACGGAATTAAAGTTGATCATAACGATATCAATTTTGAATGAATTGTTGCTGATTTCTTTCACGCTTAGGTTAGGTTCTCCGTATAATTTGTCTAAGTTTGAAATTATTTAAACACGTCATAAATTATAATTATCAATAATTGCATATATTTTACACTATATTATAATTATATGATGTATTAAATGTATTTAATATACAATATAATGCTAGTATTAAATTCGATTTTTTACAATCGCACGACTAGATTCTGATTAATTATTAATAGGTAGGTAATATATTTTTTCAATTTTATTATGTCTGCTATGTATACAAATTAAAGTTCTCGGATTTTAATATGAATTAAGATTTGCGTGATTATATGTTTTTGGTTCACGTGCATTTAAATTTAAACATTGATGTATTTGAATCCCCGACAAAATATCGGCAGTAAGATATCGCGTGACCAAAATATCGCATGGAATAAATATCGCCAGCTCACAATCGCCAGTATGGAATATAGCAGTAATTTAGTTAGAAATAAATAATATTGATTATTGATTGACATTTTATAATAGTTATAAATAATTTTATATAATTCAATTTTTAAAGCATATAATATTGTTATGTAAACATTTTATAGTAGAATTGATAAAAATATTAATAATTTAATAAAATTAATAAAAATATTAAAAAAAAAAAATAATAAAATATGTATATAGATTAATGGAAGTATATATTTAATGAAATACCTTGAAGATGATCTTCAAACTCTCGATTATGTTAATCTACTACTACATTCTTTACTAGTTCAGCCCAACTGACTGTCTTGTTCTTTTAAATTATTGGTGTATTTGAATTTAACAGATGCAATAATAATTTATGGCGGTATTATTTCTTAAAATATATTGGTTTCACGACATTTTTGTTGCGATATTTTCGTCACGCGATATTTTACCGGGCTACCGATGTATTTAATCCACTTGTTAATAATTAGTAAATTACGGATATTTATTTCACGTGTATTAAGACATAATATTTGTTAAATGTATTTAATTATAATATAATATAAAAAAAGTAAATGCATTTAGTTCAAAATAAAATACTGATTAGTGATTAGTGATTACCAATCATTGCGATTATCAACGATCAAAACAATATTTTGAATTTAAAAGTTATTAATATTTTACATATATTGTAATTTTAAGTTTTGAAATTCTTACCATAAATATGATTATTTTAGGAAGTCAATTAGATATTTAGATTTCACCAATTAAATTAAATAATCATTACTAATGAACATCTCCTAATACGTAAAAATTGTTTACACGATGTACTTAATTCCCAAATTAATTTGATGCTCATCATCGGTACATGATACACAAATAATATTATATAAATACAATAATACTTTAATTATCATACTCGCGTCGAAATTGTATATTATATGAATTATACATATACTTCAGAAAACGCACTTAAAATACTTTAAATTACTTATATCTTAAAATGTGACTTCATACGTTCTTAGTTCTTAGACTCGGACGATAAACACTTATACGAGAAATAACATTAACTTATTGTGCCTACACATAAATATACTTACCAGAGGTTCAAATGCTTGACGGTTTTTTATTCAAATATTTAATAAGCAGCGTCGTGTCCTCCGTACACATGTACCGATTCAGAAAGGCAGTTCACGCTGCATTCGATCAACACTTCTATATACGTCGAATCTCTTCGATATAAATCCCCCACGCGTACTTATATGGCTATATAGGATTTATATATATAACGAATGCCACGTATATATTCTATTCTATTATTGTCCGTTTGATTTTAACTATGGTTGATCGATTGTTCGTTTATTATTACTACTACAACTAACCCGTGGAAGGCAACTATTTATTTTATTCGCTGCGTATTTATATATATATTCAGTTCACTTCTCCTGTAGGAAATCGTTATTATATTACGAAACATAATATATCATCTTTCGTGTGCACTGTAGGCATGTTGTTTGAACAATGCGTTTCACAAAAACGCATAAGCATCGTGAACTCTTATCCTGATTTTCTATTATATCAATATAGGTAATGTATTTTTTTTATTAATTTAAGTCCTATCACAACTAATGTATCGAAACCACGCGTGGATACAATTATATATTATTATTATTATTATTATTTTTATACATACAGTATCAATAAAAGTTCGAATAAATTTCAGTTAATGACCGTCATAGAATCGTTTTGTATATATCTACATACAAGTAGCTAAAACAAATGCGCAGTCGTCGTTACTATAAACGTATAACTGATTGACAGCTGTTGGTACTTAATAGATTAATTTTAGATATTCAGAGCGGAGCGTGGGAGCTACTTAATGTATTATATTATTGTATATACCATTAAATGCGAGGGAGGGGTTCATTCAGTTCAATGCTTTAATGACGGGGTGACAAAATTACGGTACATCTATGAGCCACAACCTCGCTGTAAAAATTTAAGATCGACTAATGAACCTTCTCCACTGATTGCACTAATATATATATATATATATAATATGAGTAAGTGTATTAAGTTTAAGTGTATTCGGTTAAAAGTAGTTTTCCAACTTCGTAAAATGCGAATATATATTCGTTACAGACTGAATCAATTTAATTTGAAAAAAGTTCAGTGTGAAGTTTTTGGACGTAGAAACTAAAAAGTATAATAGAGTTTGTCTCGCATGGGGTTGTCAAATTTGTAAATATGATTAGGCTTTCTTTCATACAAATATCCATTTGACGTGATACATTAATATATATATATATTACATTTATATTTACCAATTGTTAATTACTTTTAGCGAATTTATTCAAATATACAATAAATGTCATTCCTTATTACATAATACTATAATTTATTAGTACGTCATGTAATATTTTTACATCAAATATACATATACAAATGTGTAGTTTTGTATGTATATTATTTTATATTATTTAAAATTTATCTACGAAATATCTATTTATAGACAAAATGATTAAATATTAAACGTATGCTTATTTTTATGCAACAGTTATGCACACTCATACGGTTAATGTTAACATGATCACATTTTTTTGTTTCAAATATTCTGCCTAAATATTTTAATTTACACGTGGGATTATTGAAATCACTTCATAATATTATGCATTCAAATAAATATCCTGTACCA